AAAATCATAGAAAATTCATTTTTAGTCCAAAAAATCTGAAAAAAATTATATAAAATATTTTTGATTATTCTCTTTCTGACTTTTATTTTTTCACAATTTAATTTTGTGTTTTGGTATTTTTTATAAATATACACTTAGTTGAAATTGTTTTAAATGTTTAAAAATACTTTTATGCATTTTTAAATTCTGAAAAAATTATGGAATGATCCAATGATATTGTGACAAATATTGGTGACCTTATTCTATTTTTGTTTCTGACTTTGCTATTTTTTAATATTTTTTGGTTTATTTCACCCATTTCTTTAAATTTTAAAATAGTTTCTGACTTTAAAAAATTACCAAAAAATTTATAAAATTATTTTAGTTCATTTATGATTTTTCTATGGTCTTACTTTTTATTGCCTGATTAATTTGAACATAGTTGACATTTTTTTCTCTTTTATTTCTATTTTTAAACATTATTTTTAAACCTTTTGTATATATTAAAATGTAATATTATTTTGTGATTATTTTCTGGCTGATCTTGGGTTAAATTTTTGATCATGAACTTTATTAACATCATTGTATCCATGGTGTTAAGTCTAACTCCACAAAAATGGATGAATGATTTTAATAATAGTTTGATTAAATTTAATCCAAAAGTGGTTTGCATATTCTCTCTCATCCCTCTTCATCGCATCCCTTTCTTATTGCACTAAATATTGTTGGAGCATGATCTCTATATCATGTCTCAAAACAAATGGTGCATAGATTGCTATTGACCGGCCTCAAAATAGGTGCGACTTCTATATAAGTCCACTTACGATTGCTTAACATAGCGCTAAATTTTGTCCCGATTCGAATAAATGATCATTCGTGACCCAAACTTATGTTTGCTAGCCCAAGTATGTTAATTTGATCTCTTTGATCCAATAACCTTGAGGTTCATTGTGTAGAGGCTTTGGTTCTACCAATCCTCTAATGGATCTACAACACATTTAGTCAACGCGGATCACTTAAACACCGTTGATCATTAAATGATATTCATAAGGATTCCAAATGGATGATATACTTGACAAAAACCAAATGCAACTTGTTGTGTGGAGGCTTTGGTTCTACCAATCCTCTAATGAGTTCCAAATGCAAGTTTCAAGATGATCATCCAACTAACCACTAATCACTAATAATTGATTTTATTGTGTTTTTATTTTATGTTCTTTACTTTATGCACCATTAACTTTTAGCATTTATATTTCATGCTATTTTTCATCTTTGCTCACTTGAGCCCCTTTATATTTTTGTCATTTTTTTATTTTGCTCACTTGTGCCCCTTTATATTCTTGTCTTTTTTTATTTTGCTCACTTGAGCTTTTCTTTTCTTTTAAAGACACCTAATAATCAACATAAACCCTAAAAATCTTTAATGATACTTGGACTATTTGGTTACTATCCTTGGCATTATGGAGCATTGGACTTTTTGGACTTAAGATTATAAACCTTGGCCTGTGAGTGGAGACCTTGTGATCTTATCTGATTATTTTGTCTGGAGCTCTTGAGGTTTACCTCAAGACATTGGGTAGTTTGTTTGTTTTGTGTGCAGGTTATTGTGATTACACCATTTGTTTGTAATCTGGAATTCACCCGTATACAGCCATTACTCTCCCCAATTTTTGTGAAGACTTAATACACTTGAAGTTTGATTCTCTCAAGAGGTCTAGTACATTTGCTTGTTTGGTTTCAATACAAAGAATGGGAATTCTATTTTGGCTCATAATGTCAAGTATTGGCTTCTTGTTGGTTAGATGGTTCTTATCCTTAACTTTCACCTTATGCTTTAGGATAGCCTCTTCTTCTCCTCTCATCTTCTTTAATTTTAAATATCTTCTCCCCCCTTTTGAAAACTCTTCTTGTTTTAAACTTGAATTACTTTTATAATAAACTTGGACTTAGGTCCATGCATTTTCAAACATTTTCATAAATAAACTTCAATAAACTTAACAACACTTTGACATTTTTGTGAGAAGACTAAAAGTCAATCAATCTCATTTCAAACCATTTTGCTACTTTGGCTTTTATCTTTAAACTTTTCTCAAAAGATTGAACTCTTGTCAATCCTTGTAGTGATGCAAACAACTATACTTCTACAATATGTAGTAAAGAGAGATATTTTCCACTTGGGTGTTGAGTGAGGCATTATTGAGTTTAAAATCCAAGTCATATCCTCCACTTTGAGATGATGCAAATTCTCATTTCTCATGATTGTGGGTAGTAGGTATGTTTTCCACACGGACAATGACGATGATGTTTTATCTCATAAAAGTGACCAACACATTTGTGTTTTAAATTTTTTAAAAGAGGAACTATGTGTGTCCTGATCGCTTATTGCACGAAAAGGTGGTACGTAGGCACTAAAGGTTCGCAACCACGACGGATGCAAAAATCATAAAAAAATATGTTTCTTTTCCCTTCTTTTTGGGTTATTCGCTCTTTTCCAATTCCTTTGGAAACAATAAAGCGCGGTGGCGATTTTTATTTTGATTTGTATAAGTCTAGTCAATCCAATAGCTTAGTCTTGAACATTTCTACCGCTACATTGTCCATATTGATGTTTGGATATCACTTGTTCTTAGTTCGGGAGGACATCATTTTATGTGTTATTTTTAGATGATTTCACGAATTTAATATGGACTTTTCCATTACAAAATAAATCTAAAGTTTATTATATGTTTCTTCAATTTCGCGCTCACATTAAAATCCAATTTGAGCGAGAAATCAATTTTTTTCAATATCATAATGTGAAACAATAAGACAATGCTCTATTTCAAAAGAATTTGAATTCAATGGCATGTCATTTAAGTTTTAATGTCCTCATACTTCTCCTAAAAATGGAAAAGCTAAAAGAAAAATTTATACTATAAATAACATCGTATAAATCACATCGTCTGCACCCTTTTAGCCCATGCCTCTATTCCGCCATCCTTTTGGCACCATGCCTTGCAAATTGAAACATACTTACATAACATCCCCCCAACCAAAAAGCTTGTCCTCCATTCACCCACTAAGATACTCTACCAAAAAGATTCTTCGTATTCACATCTTTGAGTCATGAAGTGTCTATAATATCCTCAAATTCCTTCAAACTCTAGAAATAAGTTACAACCTCGGTCAACACCGTGTGTATTCTTAGGTTTTCCACATAGTCATAGAGGATATAAGTGTTATGAATTATCCAATCGTAAGATCTTTATTTCTAAGCATGTCATATTTGAAAAAATACGTTTCTTTTTCCTACCTTAAATGCTCCTAACACGATTGACTTTATGTTCTTATATAATGACACTCTTACTACAAATACCCCAACCCAAACTAACATTAAATCTAACAATTCATAAACACCAACCTCAAATCCATCTTCATCTACGCCCTTTCTCAACCAACCCTCCCTACCGAACTCTTCCCTCACACCTATATCTCTTTCTCCTTCAACTCACAACAAACAAAAAACCTAGGCTACTACATTGACATCCACACCTTCGCCTTCTCAAATATTACCATAATTATCACCTCAAATGACAACCTGAATCCAACATGGTATAGTCAATACCTTGCAAACTTTTTAACCTATATACTTCATCTCAAAACTCCGCATCAAACTTTACCTTGAGATGGGTCATTCAAGCAGTACAATGCCTGTCTTGGAGGAAATAGAGTGAACCAACAAACATGTCGTGATTGTAGTAAAACCTTCAGCCCCGTAGTCAAATCGGATACTATTCGCACAATACTAAACATTGTCTTGTCAAAATCATGGTGTCTTCATCAATTAGATGTTAAAAATTCCTTCTTGCACAACTATCTTGATGAAATTGTGCACATGCACCAACCTCTAGACTTTCGTCATCCTCAATTCCCAGACCATGTGTGTTTGCTCAAAAAGTATATATGGATTTAAACAAGCACCACATTCCTGTTATCAGCGGTTCATTGATTATGTCGCTACAATGTGATTCTCTCACAACATTTCTGACCACTCATTATTTATTTATCATTATGGAAATGACATAACCTCCATTATTCTCTATGTATATGACATTATCCTCACTGTTTCATCTGAATCTTTTTGTGAGTATATTATGCCAAAGATGAGTTTTGAATTTGCAATGAAGGATCCCGGTCCTCTGAGTTATTTTCAAGGTATCTCTATTACTCGACATTCCGAAGGTACTTTTCTGTCATAAAAAATATAAAGAAGAGATCATTGAATATGCAAGAATGTCGTCATGCAAGCCAGTCCTAACACCGGTGTAATACCAAATCAAAACTCAACGGATCCTCAGGTAATCCCTACCATTGATCCAACCGAATATAGAAGTCTTGCACGTGCATTACTGTACTTGATATTTATAAGACCAGATAAATCACATGCCATTAAAAAGAATTAAAAGAATTAATTTATAAATAAATGTGTGGATAATAACTTGGCTATAAAAAGAGTAACTTCATTTTATAACAATGAGTTGCAGAGATGTGAAAGGTATAATATGGATGCTGCAAAGTAGCAGAGAAAAAACAGTTTTATAGTTTTATAAATGTTCACATAATAAAGAAAATGATGGGCTAAGGATAATTTAAAGTTGCTATATACAATTAAGCAGTAGCAATGAAGCTTTCATATAGGCCGAATGAATTTGTCGTTAAATGAGGAGAGGAGTGATGCTACGTTTTGGAATGTGTTGATGATGCATTATATATTTTTAATCAATTGTGACATTAATTTTACTTCTAGAATATCATTTTCAAAAACATTTTTGTGCAGCACTTTCCAAATGATCACATTGCAATGTTAGAAAACAATTTTATTTAGGAAACAATATATACATATACATACATCCTCCAATATTTTAGACTTCAAGCTATCCACAAAAGAGCTGAGGTCAGGAGCTTATTTTAAAACTCATGTTCAAACAAATATGAACACCAACCTTTCCATACAAGGTCAACTTCAGCAACAAGAAAAACAATTATGGGTTGCGCGTATCACCCATCTTTATCATCTCTGTTGGAGACTTCAGCAGCTTCTTTAGTGTATCAATTATGCCACCAAAAGATGGGCGCTGAGCAGGGTCACTGTCAAGTAAACAAAACAATGCTTATAGAATCATAAACAAAAAAGCCATAGTTGTCCAAGAAAAATAACATGAAGCATGCTGATCGGCGTAGGAATCTCTATATATAACAACTATCTATATATAAAATTGGACTTACTCAGCCCAACAAGATTCCATTAGGGAGGCAAACACTGGGGAGATGTTTGGAGGGATAGCAAGCTTCCTATTCTGGAAAGCAACAGCTCCAACCACCTGAGATTTCACATGATAATTATTACTACTGTACAAATATTTACAATTTAGACCTAATACCCATTAAGTTTACCTGGGGAGGGCTAAGTCCACTCCATGGTTGTTGCATGGTCACAAGCTCCCACAGGATAACTCCAAAACTGTATATGTCAGATTTCTCATCTGAAGGTTCTCCGCGAAGAAATTCAGGGGCCATCCACTCAGGCTAAAAAATAGAAATGAAGAGTTGCAAATTTATTGAAAGTGAGGTATCATGATGTAAAAATTCAATAGGTGAAATATTGAAAATTGGCCAATTTCACAATTAAAAGAAATTTGCCTCTATATGTATGCTAACATGCAAAATCTACCAAATTCAAATACAGGGTAGCAAGTTGAATGTTCCTTTCACACAATCCTAAAAATGCATATACTTCTCATCCAAAAAACTTACCAGCATCAAATGATTAACATCCACAGTACTACAAATATTCATATATCAGAAAGAAAATTGTATCATTGGTCTTAAGACAAAATCGGAAGTCAAAGGCTAAGAAGTAATAATCATATTTCTACATGAATCAAGATGCATTGGCAAATAGCTACTCCAGTTCAATTGTTGAACACTCTCAAACTTAAGAGTGCTATTCAAAGAAAGAAAATAAGTAGACAATTCACAAGTTAAATTCATAGAGAGCTGTAACTACATGAAGCTGGTATGATTACGCTAATGAATAAAGTCAGAGTCTTAACTGTTCCGGCAACCGATTTTGAGGGTATGAAAGTGTTTGCCTTAAATCTGGACAATCCAAAATCACAAACCTGGGTATGAATTGAAAAAAAAAAATCATCTACACGTACAAAATGTTACTAAATCTTATTATAAACTTCTAAATCGGTTTCGTTCCACCTTCACAGTCCAATTTTTGTCCACTAACAAGTTTGGGGATTTCAGATCCCAGTGCACGATTGGAGGTTTAAGACAATGGAGATAATTGATTCCTTTAGCCTGCAATTGGAAAAATGCTCTATCATGTACACATGATAAATATTTAGCATAATAAATTAACAATATCTGACACAAACCACATCCAAAGCCATTCGTAATCTTCTCCTACTATCCAGAAGTTCACCAGATGCTGGCCTATGTATGAGGCGGTATAAACTACCCCTGTTACAAATGTACCAGAAAACAACAGTAAGACATTCACATCTTCATGCAAGAATGTGCACTAATATGATCAAAAATATAATTAAGTTGATTGTTTTACCTAGGCAAATACTCTGTCACTATTGATAGATTGGGGTGTGTTGTAACTGCACCCATGAAAAGCACCACGTTTGGATGGCGAACACGTTTCATTATTGCAACCTAAATTGCAAATAACAACTTGAGCTTTTTTCTCCATTTAATTGAGAGGGGAAAGTAAAAGGGCTTTTTAAGAACAAATTGAAATCTTATATCATTATGTTTCAAACTAGTATTAAAGAAAAGTAGCACACACGTTTCAAGCATTTTTTTTTTGGTAACAATACAGGTTTCAAGCATGATTTTACGACACAAGATCACTAATCTTAGGTTGCTTCATAAACTATGCAATGTTGTGATTGTTGCCAAATAATAGTAAAAGTATTTAAAAGTATTTTATATGAAAGAGACAAAGGGAAAAAGACACTGCAACTGTGCAAGACACTAGATTGAAGGAATATATAGTGCTGAAGATAGCTAACTATCAGCTCATATGTGTCGCCTTTGGTAGTATATTTTTGTGTGAACTCACCAGTCACCTCTTACCGGAATATAATCCAAATCACAGGCAAATGCAAGAAAGTGGAACTAAATACATTTATCTCATGAATGAAATCAATACATGCCTCTCTCAGAAACTCCTTCAAGTGATCATCATGAAAATCCTGATCTGTTAAAACCTTGACTGCAACATCCTGCAATTTATGTAGAAAATAAACTATACAAAACAGATATATACATACATACACTCACAGGGACACACACAAACATATAGGTTGATGATTCACTTGTTCCATGATAATATTCATTGGTTTGATCAATGAAATTCAATATGAACAAAGAGCTATTACGAGAAGTAACTATGACGAGTAACTTCTAGAGTGTGTGAATCTCCACACATACTGATTGTGGCCAAAGAGTGTATTATAGATTCAACATAAGACATGTTGATATATAGTTAACTAAAATATAATGAATTTATCTTGGAGGCAAAAGGCCACTGTCTTTTTTTCTTAAGCAAAAAGTTAAAGTGAATCAAAATACATACAGATTGTGGCCAAAGAATGTATTATAGAACCAATATAAGACATAATGATAGTTAACTATAATATAATCAACTTGTCTTGGAGGCTAAATGCCATTCATCTTTTTTTCTTAAGCAAAAAGTTAAAGTGAAGCAAAAGATGAAGGCCAAGACATCCCAACTAGGTTGGCATCAGGCACCCACACCCAAACTATTCAACTCAAACAAAATATTATTAAAATAAAAAGAAAAAAGAAAAAGCTTGGGGAACGAGGCCAAAACCCATCAAATTGCAATTAAACAGACAAAGCAATTGTGCAGATCGTAGTATGAAGATGTTAAAAATCCATGTTCATATACTCGAATGTGCTTATTCTATGAACAAACTCGGCATGACGAAAAGAAGTGTGCACTATCACTTACTGATCCATGCCATTCAGCGCGGTGCACAGTTCCAAACGAGCCTGCAAAGTTAAAAGGAAATGAGCATTTAGTCATCTAACGAGGAAACGAGTCTGTTATACCAAAATTATGTGAATTCAAGAAGCAGAAAAATTTACCAGCACCAACACGCTCTTTAATACGTAAATCATCCCATGATATCTCAAGCCAGTCCATTGCCAATGATGGTTCAAGATTCACATATCTTGGAATACTCCCAGCTGGTACATAGTCTTGGTTTTCAATGTTATCGTCCAACGGCTTCAGTTCTGGTTGGCATGAGGAACTAAGTATACATTGCTTGAAAGTACTTTTTACCACAGAACATCCGGTTACGATGATTTCATTGCTGGAATTTTCTTCTAATACAACTGCCTCTTCACTAAGCCTTGGATATTCATGTAATGATGTTCTGGTGGGAGGAAAAACTTTGGAAACATCCTCGTGAATGGTAGGCAAAATTGAACCTAGAACTGCACATTCCTCATCATTCTCTTTTAAACCAAAAGGAATTAGAAGTGGGCTGGTTCCTTCACAGGGTTGATCAGCTGAAGCACATATGGAGCCCTGGTGAACTTTCAACAAATCCGTTTCTTTAACTTGTTGATCGATCTGTCCACAACCTGCAGATCATTGAATAATGGCTAAGGCCAGCTTTAAACTATAATGTTTCTCTGCTAGTAATAAGACAATACTAAAACAGAACTAAGAGAGCATAGGTTACCCTGTCCCCAAAGGGCTAAAATTTAAAATTTAAATCAAAACATGTTCCAAAATCTTGAGAAGGAACATAAAACTTTAAGTAGCTTCAATTATATTCACCAAGAAAGGTTGGTATTTGGGCTAGAGGTAGGTGCAAAGAAAGAAAGACCACTTATGCTGTGAGGGCAGGAAAAAAAAAAGACAACACCTGGCTAAGACACCCAGTGGTTGTATGCCCGAGCATCATTTGAACAATTAATTGATGTAGTATATTTTTAGACAGTATGATAGAATTGATACAAAAGAAAATGCATGGCAAACTTTAGAATCTACAGCAAATAAGTTTGTGTACGATGTATCCAGAAGGTCCAAGAAAATAACTATGGCTTCACAGATTCTTTGTGTGTACTTGAAACTGAAATACTTGTAAATATTTGAAGATCAACATTCAAGGTATGTAAGTAAAGAGCAACATACCCGAATAAGGATGAGTTTCAGGAATACAAGAACTTTGATTGAAACTAATAGGTGGTTGAGAACTTGCTTCATCATCGTTATATGGTGATTGTAATTCCTTAAAATGAGAAATTTGAAACAGAGAAGGAATCGAAGAAACATATGCTCCATTAATGGAGGAATCTGGGCCATGGACATTTCCTGGTTCCCCAACTAGGTCGACAACATATTCCCTGTTAAATAAGAAACCAGACCAGAACAATGGAAAATATGAGGTGAGTAACAAAATTATATGTACAACAAGTTATTATTAGTGGCATATATAACAAAATTTTGCAAACCTTGAGAGCTGCTTCTCATCTTTAATCTTGACTAGGCAAGAAGATCTGTGATCTGCAGCACAATACTTGCAACCACGAGCTATGCGACAAGGCAACCCTATGTAATCAGCCAATCTCTGCATTCAAAAAACCAAGTAATTTAGTGAATAACTAATTCGTTACAAGCTTTTCAACAAACATTAATGCATTGTTATGTTTCAAAACTCAGTGCAATATGAAACCAAGAAACCCTCATCATAGATAGTTAATAATAGTTAACCTTGAAGAGAATTGCTCGATGCCTACAAAGCCCAGAAGATAAACTGCCAATGGGAAGCACAGCACACTTGTGAAAATTCTTCTGCCTCTTACTAACCAACCTCCACCTCTTGTGGAGATCTCCTTGCTCCACTGGGAATATACCCCTTCAATAATCAATAATATATACATTCAGAATAACAACAAATTAATAAAGAAAAGTGTATAGTTTATATTTAAAAGTACTAAATATATACCCCATATATATGGCAACAAGTTTTCCAAGCTGTTCAACAAACACCAGTGTGTTCTCTGAAGAACAATACAACTCCTGAGCTTTATCATGAAGCATCTTCAAGTGAGAATCTAGGTGCCTATCGACAAGCACCACCTCCATAGACGTCTCGCTTGGTTCAACCGCTTTAAGCGCCAACAAACTAGGTACCTTCTTACCTTCCTCCTCGTCATTGCACGTCACCCAAAGATACGGATTCATCCCCAGTATGTTGTAAAAACCATCACTTATCTTGTCTGTGTATGACAAGCACCCACTCACCTAACAATCCAAAAACAAGAAACTCAAATAAATATGATGGTATCGTAATCGCAACTACATTTTCGACCACATCATTTTAACCATTTCATAACCACAATTATGCAGTTTATAACCATGGGTTCCACAGTGAGATATAAATTATAATTAATAAAAGAAATCGTGACGCTTTTGTTAAGTTTTGTACCCAAAGACGATACGAAACAGATTTAGCATCCCAAGTTTCAGTGCCATGAGTAAGAACAGGTTCCGTTACGAGACTTGCCAAACAAGTTAGCCTCTTTGCTAACTTAAGCTGCAAGATGTAGCTTTCATTACACTCCTTAGCAAACACCTCTTTTTTTTCATCTTCATCCTTCTGCCTCCTCACCGTGGTGGTGGTAACGGTGGAGACTTGAGACAACGGTGTTTCCTCCTTAATGTCACTGGAAAACAAGCTCCCTGCATAACTACTATCACTCGATAGCCTCGGAAGCGAAACCTGGCGATCAAAATTCCGGTCGATTGCAATGTCTTTCTCCGGATGATGAAGAAGAAAGTCGTGATCATGATCATCATCGGAGATCGACGAGCGGCGGCGGAGATGGTGAGTCTGGTAACCGGAGTGATTTCTTTTCTTGTCGATGAACCAGTCACAGAAAGCCGCTATCTGCTTTTGTTTGATTCGGAGTATATCGGAGTTAGAGAATTTGCCGGAGGAGAAAATGACGTCGTGTTTAGTTGACGGAGGAGTAAACGACGAAAGTTGGTTACTGCTTTGAATGTCGCTTTCGGTTACAGATTTGATTGAATTGACGATTTTGTCCTTATCGTGATCTAATAGCTTTTTAGATGATTCATCGAATCCTCGCTCTGGAAAATGACGCGGGAAAATGTAAGTTGCTCTATGAGGCATTTTCAGTCACGAGCCTCTTGCGTTAAACACTCACGTGCAATGAAATAAACGGTTAACTGCTTTTCCGTCTTTGCCGTCACAGACACCGTTGTTCTCCGTCTTCTTCGTCTTTTCTCGGTGCAAGTAGGTGATCTGATTGCTCTTATTAACAACACCAAGCAACTACTTCAACGGATAATATAGTTGGAAATTGCATTCTACTATGTGTTTCTGAATGAAGAAATGAGTAACTTAGAAAACAAAACGATTTTGCACTTGGAATGAGTGAAGTATACTCGCGTAGGTGCAATGTTGATATAGTACGATTTGGTTTTCTGTTAGGGGAAGTGTGAAGGTGATGGAGATGTGATTGGTTGTGAGGTTGTGCAATGCAAGTAGCTATGTTGAGGTTGGAGTATTTTTAAAAAGGTGGTGATGGAAAATAATACAGTCGGTAGGATGGTAAAGAGAGGTGGTGTCACGTGCAATCCCTTGTTATTGGGGCAACACGTCACATTCATACATTATAAAACCAAAGTTTGCAAGAAGAGGGATTATTGGTGCGGGTAGACCCTCTAATATGGATTCAGCTCTTCTCTGGCTTTTTTTCATTCAACTGCTCTGCTTCCGGGTCATTGAATTTAATTTAAGGGTTTGATGACTCATGTTTTATCTCATATATTTTTTATTTCTTTCTTTCTCCACTATTTGAGCAGAATGGGGCAGCATAAGACAAAAAATTGGAGAGGATCCAATTTCTTTTAATATACTAAATTAAATAGATTTTGATCCTCTCGTGTTGATTCTTTTCAGCTGTCTTTCTTGCTCTCATCACAACCCTTCATCTATAATTTGTTATTCTTTTTAAAATTATATTTTTTGTTTATTGATTTTTGATGCACTCTCAGCTATTGGATAAAATCGGAGAAAAAATTGGACACAAAAAGTAGGAGATAAATTATTCTCACCTTAAATGGATAATGATTTCTTGCATTCAATTTCAACGCATTCACGCATTTGAGACATTAGTAAACGTTAAATCATGATCGGACATTAAAGATTCAAATATGATATTTTAAATTATAAAATAACAGCTGATTTGTTTTTATTTTAAATCGTTCGATCAAAATTGAATGGTCAAAAAAGTTCTGAATGCGTGAAGTTGGCGACCGCAGAGGATCTTGTTTCAACTTAAATAGAACCAACCTACTAGGTATTTGAATTTCTTTATGGTCATTGTTTATGTTATCATATAGGTTTATTAGTCACCCTTAAATCTAAAAATACCATTTGCATTTAGAGATTGGAATCCGAACAACATACTCCCCAGGTCTCATATTAAGCAAATTTCACATTTTTAGATTCATTGAACAATTAATGTATATGGTCTCTATATAGACTAGATACATTAATTGTTCAATAAATCTAGAAAGATAAAATTTGCTTATAATATAGGACGGATAGAGTATTTAAGAAGAAAAAAAAGACTTCATTAGATAGTTGCTTCCATTTTTCCTCAAAATTAATTCAAATATTAATATTCGAATTAAATCAAGAGTGAGTTCGAATAATAATCTATGAATCAAGCCACAGTAAATTATTTGGTAAGTTTCTTAAAATTTTGATATTTTTTAATAAACATGATATACAAAATATACATAAATGTAATTAACTTAAATCATAGACATTTGTCATACAATTAAAACATCATATATTAAGTCAAAACGGTAGTTACCACCATACATCATTTGTTATAAAATAAAACAAATATCATTGTTCACAAATACAAACTATGATACAAATCATCAAAATATTATAATCAAAATTCAAAGAAAAAGTAAATTATATCTTACCCCAATAATGTCTTCCTGAAACTCTCCTCTCTTTATGGCCGCTCTCCCAATGGACACAATACGCTAATATATAATGATGAGTCGACCTATGTGATTCTCTCGCTACATCTGATGTCAACTAAAGATGTGACACTCTATAAAATCGTTGGATGTAATTGTATATCACACTACATGGATGAAGAGTTAGCACATAACGTACATCTACAAGGACGATGATCATAGAATGCCTCAAATATAACATCAACATCTCTGCGCAGTGGGAAGAGCATACACAATATAGGCTTAAGGAATACCCTGCATATATGTGAACTGCCGCGTGACTTGCTCGGGTAAATGTGGATATTAGTTGTTACCTACAACTTAGCCAGTCAGAGTATAAAGCTATCGCATCCAAGGGCCATGTCAGACGGTGATCGACATATGGCATGAAGTAAATATCTTTTGTCGCGATGCGATCAATATAAGCTTAAAACGGTTTGATCGTTTAATTCCCTCTAAGCGAGATGACGGAGTAAGCACATGGAAAACTCTCAGAGTATTCTTCGGCACATGCCCAGCCAGAGAGACATAGAAAGTGTTGGTGGATCCATGTCAGAAAATTGTTCTGATGAAATATTAGTAACTGAGTAGCACAAGTATTATGAAATATTAGTAACAACAAACGTGAAAAAATATTACTATAAACATAGAGTTGTTTCTCATAAATTGTCTAGTCTTTCACAAACAAGTTTCACATAACTTTGAGTAGAGGTAAACCAAACAAGAGGCTCCTCAGTTGTACTCACATATTCTCTCCAAATCAATAAAATATTTGAGATAGATGACATTTACATAGGTTGCACTTTTATCCATAAATATGGGCGTGCCACCAAAAATGTGAGGTATAACCTTAATGCACATCCTCTATGATATATATATATATATATATATATATATATATATATATATATATATATATATATATATATATATATATATATATATATATATATATATATATATATATATATATATATATATATATATATATATATATATATATATATATATATATATATATATATATATATAACTTGTCATTCATCGCCATTAGCCTCCATTTTCACAACCAAGTGGTCTTTATACGACATCTCCAGGTACAGAAATTTGGCATGACATTCTCTGATGTCATCTATTTACTTTTCGGAATTACCTGTGTCAGCTCCCAAATAGACCACCATCGTCTCTATTGCCTCGTGTATATCACATCTAGAGTAGTTAAATAATATTCATGTGATTGAAAGATGTAGTAGGGATGAAACATCATCAAATGTGATGGACATCCTAAAATCAGAAGATGTAATGAAGATGTCTATGAGTACCATCTCTCTACAAAAGCAGCCAACAGACCATGGTTAATATAACCATACCATGTCCTACATAATTCTTCCAGCTCATATGCATGCATGACATCCTAAAACCAAGGCTCATCAAGCTACGACAACTTTGATATCTTCTTATGCGGGTTGTTACATTTCAACGTATCACTGTACAGTAAAAAAATATCATCGTCAGAAAGTTCAAATCTTATAGCACAAATGTTTAAAATAATAATTAAAATTTCATGTTACCTCTCCATCCCATATGTGCCTAGCAGCATGGTATGGATATAGAGGAAGAAGTGATATGTCTTAGGGGCCTTCTAGAAAAACATAAAAACAACAACAAAAGGGTCGTCAACACGGACTTCTCAGGCTTCTAGGGCATTATGGGCAGCAAGAGGACTCATGTCTTTGGGAGGACGATGCCAGAGACATGTAAACTCCAGAAGATGGTGCTTCAACATAAAATAAATTGACACCAACGTCTGGACGAGATGGTCTAGATTTTTATATCCAAACGAAAGCATGTTGGATCATTATATGCTTCAACTTGTCTTGGTTATCATGCATTTTACCTATAAGTACATCAAAAAAAAAAATCATATCATAGTCAAAGAAGCCAAACCCATAAGACATAACATGTAAAATCAAAAAAATAATACATAACGAGAAAATTCATTTTTTTTCTCCAGACTCATGGTTCAGATTCCAATCTCCAAACAAAACTAGAGTTACAAAATAATAACATATACAACTCATGCACTCTAAATTTGAGGGAAAAAATATAGGCATGCATCAAAAACTAAGTTATTATAATTTTAAATACAACCTAATGTCTCATAACCAACCTATTTAACTAACACATTCATCAGAAATTAAAAAAAATGATGAAAATGAAAAATTTATCAAATTGTGAGAAAAACTAGAAAATTGAGAAACCTCGATTGAATGGAGTAGAGTAGAGTTTAATTTGATATCCTATAGTTGAATGCAAGGTAGTAGAAATAGCAAGAAAACTTGACAATGATAGAAATGAAGTTTACTCACGATCTACGTTTTGGGTTCTGAGTATGTTTGTGAAGTGAAAAAGGAAGGGGGAGAGGTTTAGAGCAAGGTTATTAATAAAACTTGTTTGGAGATTGGAATTCGTAAAAATTATGGAGATTAGAATCATGATTAATTAAGTGATAAATCAGTATGACTCTGAGAAATGGGTGTGGTGTGATAAGGGACGGGGACGGGTCAGGATTCCAATATTCTAAATTTTTTTGTTAGCCTTCACATCTTTCATTTAGCGTATTTTTTCATTTTTTGGTGCGTCTAGAGTTTAAAATTCAAAATTTATGGGCATTAATGAAATTTCATAGTGGTGAGTGAGCAACACTAAGGGTTAAAAAAGCAACCCCTTGTGTTTTTACGGATGTATTTGATCCAACTCGTGACAACACGCATAACTTTGATTCGACTATTGGGTTTTAATATTTGAACTTGTTGATGTGACATTATTATTTTTTTAAAAATTATTTTAAATGAAAAAGAAATATTATGTTACGACAATTAACTATTAATTTTTCTTTCATTACCAATACTTTTATTAGACCAATATTTGACAAATGAATTTAGGTAATTTTAAGACTAAATGTTATTGTTAATTTGTTTTTGTATCATTTCCATCTTATAAAATAAATTATATATTTTATGGAATTCTTTACTATTATTAAATATTAAGACATATGGGTGAATTTTATTAGACATTATACGATGTGTTTCATTCAATTTAAGTGTTGAAATATGTGTAATTATATTG